CACCATTTTCTCATGATGAGCGTTTCGTCACTTATACAGCTGCAAGCGTCACAGCGCCGGGCACTTTTCAAAGTCCCTACAGGAACTATCTGTAGAGCAGGGGTCAAAACCCAGAACTCCTCTCTTCCTGTGGCTCTAACCACAAGCCCGCAGAGTTGCATTCTCTTCAGCTTCTGCCCTTGTCCAATGAAATATGAACTCTTTTCTGCAAAGTGGCACAGCTTCAACAGAAGGGATGGAGAGTGTTCACCCACAAAGCAGTTGATAGCCTGGTGGTTTGAACAGTCTCCTAGGAGATGAAGATTTGAGTCCCCTTAAGAAGGGGTGTCTTACCAAGGTATCTCTGATTCTGGGCCAGTCTGTTAACCCTTGAGCTATTATATATAAAAGGACACCACTCCATCTTTCCCTTCCAATAGCTACCCTTAAATAAGGCAGCTGCCTCTTCAGCTTATGAGAAGCCCAATCCTGATGGTGTGTTAGGTGTGCTCTGAGAACTGAATATTTGACAGGTGTACTGAGCTCCTCAGACAGAAGGTACATGTAAGTACAAAGCATTATTGTGGAGGGATGGCCCACTACCCCTCCACCAGCTGCACCTTTTAGTTTTTAAAGTATTCAGAACTCCTAAAAGGCCGGGTTGGCAGCATACCACCCTCCATTGCACAAGTCAGAAGAATTTTATGCACTTCATGAAAACACAAGTTCTGCTTCCCAGAACTGTCAGGCTCCATTAGCTCCAGAGGAGCCTGACAAGTCAAGGTTTATAAACCCCAAACCACCAAGTTAGCAAGCTTTCCTTGCTAACAAACCAGCCACACATTAAAATACAAGCTGCTCAACACACATGCAAAGTACTGCATTATACTAATAACAATAGCAACAATAATAATAATCATCTCCATTTTTATAGGATTTCCCTTTCCTTTTCCTGAGTTTATATTGTTAGGTGTGATGTCCTGAACCCAATCTGAAATTCAGAAAAGTTTAGGGACCCCATCAATATTTTTTGTTCCTTCATTGAAGAGGAAGAAATGAAAAAACTAAGGCTAGGGACATAACTTGCACAAAAACCAGTATAAGTGATTGGAAACCAATTCAAATCTGTAACACAACAGAAGTTCAGTGTACAATAAACCACTTCCAAAATGGCCATAACTGGTTTAAGGTAAACCTGGGTGGATGTAGTATGAGACTTTACTGATTTCAGTTAAATCGGTTTATTGAGCTCATGTCCTGGATCCCCTCCAGATTCAAGTTAACTTACAAGTTCTCCAGCATCCCAGGATGCTTTGCACCTCCCTTGTAAACTCCCCTTCTCAGGGTAGGCAGTTAGCATTGGCCCAAGCTGTCTGCTCCAGACAAGTGGGGAGGCATGCTGTAGCACCCTCCACCAGCTTCTGGCCTGGGCCACTGCAGAGATGTGGCTGCATTTCTGGAATCAAAAGTGAACATTTGTTCACTTGCTTATTGGTTCAATCTACGCAACTTAGACAAACTTGCGAAGACTGATTCAATTCAGCCTTGGGCTTTTTAACTGTCTGTACTTAGCTTAGAGTTGCAACCCCAGACTGAAAAAGATACTGAGCATATTATTAATTCCTAACACAAAGTCTGATTTTTAAGGAGATATTTGAAAGGAAAGGAATCATCTGCAAACAACAGCATATACATACATGCATATACATACATATACACACATACATATAATAAATGGACATTATTGGGAAGCAATATTGGTAAGCAAAGAATTTTTAAAATTAATTGCAAGCCAATTGCTGCTAATATAACACTCCTTGGCATGGCTTGTGAGTCTTTCACTTGTTGCAAGATAAGATGCACATGTCCATTCAGCCACAGCCCTTGGAAATCAAGGGAATTCTATGGTTAGTATTTTAGTGCAAAAATTGGCATTGCTCCATGGACTTCAATTTAGTCATATCTATTAACGGGTCCTGGAGATAGTCTGGCTTCATTTTCTTAGTGGATATCAAATATCATAACGCACCAGGCCATGTCCTCACTCTTTCCAGATAGTGATTTCAACATTTAAAGATTCTCTCTACAAAACAAAAAAACTTAAAGTAATACTTACAATGCCCCAAAGCTGTTGGAGTTCACAGCATGGACCAAAAGGTAGGCTCTGAACTGCTCCGTATTGTTAAAGCAGAAAAAAAAATCACAAGCAAATTTGTAGGTACCTGAGAAAATTGTAATGTAAGAAATGGATTTATCTGAGGATTTTAAACATCTCCAGTGTTAGGCATCAAGCCAGCAGGACTGAGAGGATTTCAGTTCTGGACATAAGACACAAGTTCTAGCCTTTGGCATTTCTCCTCATCTTAAGCAGGCAAGAAGTGCTCTTTACCAAGAGAAGATGGTGACATTTACACTTAGAGGTCAGCAGATGTGTCAAATCTACCAATATTAAATGGGCTGAAGGCATCAGTATCTAAACTGACTGTACAGGGTTGTCAACCCCCCATATGTTTCTTTTAATTGACAATCTGCAAACTTATTACTGAAAACCAAACTTTTTCTTTACTGATGGATGTTTTATATAATGTAACTGCAACTCTTCTGTCAAGCCCTGGACAGCAATGCACTGGACAGCAGTAACAAGGGGTGGGCTCAAATCTAGGGATTTAATACCAACCAAAGTCTTACCTGACCACAGCAAGTTTTACACCATGTTGCCCCCACCCCAGGAGCTTCCTACTCACCCCACACCCTGATACCCCAGGGCAACATGACCCCTGCTAACCCTGCTCCTCCTGGCCCAGCAAGGACCCCCCCTGCTGGTCTTCCACCCTTGCCCCACCCCCCAACACTGCAGCTTTGCTCAGTCTGCACCGCTCCGCGGCCCTGTCCTGCTCAGTGCCTTAGATGCTCTGCGGCCATGCAGCCCCGCCTACTGTCAAGGTGAGCAGCCAACAAGATGCAGGGGCGAGATAAATTCAAATTTAAGATGAACCTCTAATACTTAGATTCTATGCATGAAAGATTATATAGGGGTCAGCTTAAATTCATCCTCCTCACCACCTGCAGCATGGCAACCAGTGGCAGGCAGCATGGGAAGTGGCTTGATGCCTGCCCCTTGCCACTTACTCCCCCTGCCCCCTCATGCCCGCATCCCCCTTACTTTGCCCCCTGCCACTTCTCCTCCCTGGCACTTGACCCTCTGCCTGTGCCTGCACACTCCTGGCACCTGCACCCCATGGACTTGCAGCCCCTGCTCTCCCACCATTGCTTACCCTCAGTTGTGGCTCCAGCTTCAGCTCAGCACTGACCCAGAGCATGGAGCACAGGCTGACTTTGAGCCCTGGCCCACAACGCGCCCCTACCCCCCTCCATACAGAAAATACTGCAGGTGGTGGCAGCTGCAGCTCCAACCCCAAGCCTGGGTTGGGGCCAGAGCTGGAGTCACAGCAGCCACCTGCCAGTCCCGCACCTTGTACTTGAATCCAAGACAAGGAACTTTTTTGACCATGCTGACTGGGGAAAAGTCTTGGATTCCACTAAAAATGGTATGCTACATTCAACAATGCTACAGAGATGTCTTAACAGCTTGGACAATCAATGCAAAGAACAGTAGTAGCCCAAATTCCTTCATAGACTGTGTTTGGAAATGAACCTGTTCAATGATGGAATGACAAGAGCATGCTAGGCCCCTCAGCAAGGGGGCCACAATGCCCCCAAGCTAGCACGAATTGCTCTGAATTTGGGGAGTTCCTACTAGGCACTCATGACCTGTGTGTGATGCATGCATCATGAAAGAACTTATCCCTCAATTCTCCTTACCCCTCAAAAAAAAAGAAGCAGCTTCTCTACCATTGTGTAAGTAGCCAAATATTGAAGTGTAGCAGAACATGGGACCACAGTTGTAAAGTCATGCACATTCCTTCCTTTCTGGACATTATCAGTGATGCAGGCTTTACTGCATCACCTTTGGTTTTACGCAAGCCTGAGTGCTGAAATAAAAAATTAAGGCAATATTTCAAAAGCACAGAGCACTGGGCCATATGCTATAAAGAATACAGATTATAATCCTCTTTTTATTCCTTTAGAATTCCCCTATTTCCTCTCCACCTCCACCAAAACCACATATCACAGCCTCCTCCCCATACAGCAACTGAAGCTTAGATGTAACTGAATGCATAGGCAGTAAATTGTTGTTCCCTTTGGTCTAGGAAAATGAGTCAGTCAAGCTCTGCAGGGGCTAAGTAATCAGCCTCTGTAGTTGTCCCAACTCCAAAAGAAAGGGAGCTTCAATCTCAACATGACAGCCACAATCAACTGTCAGTAGACCACCAGACCCAGCCGCTATCCAACAATCTGTTTAATAAAACATTTGCATCTAACATAAAATGTTGTCAAACAAACTTCATTATTAAAGCTTTGGCAGATTTTTGATAAATACTAATTTCTCTGTTATGACTTATTGGTAATGCAGCACAGTGAAGGTATTATCAGACCAACAACAATTCACATTTTTTGCTGCCATATATTTTTTCTTTCCAAAGGGGATTGAAAAAAAAAAAAAAGGAGATCACTTTCTTTCCCCAGAAAGATCACTTGACTACTATGTATCAGTCTTTAAAATGTGAATTTTACAATCCAAACACTTCATAGAAAAATAGGTGATCATTTTTAATGATTTTTACATAAAAGAAAAATAAGTTTTTGTACTTTGTACAATTTTACTCGCATACAATGCATGAATGCGAGTCCTGCACAAACAGTCCTAGCCATATTTACAAATGATGCAAAGCATATATGCAATCCTGAAGACTGACAGGGAAAGTCTGAAGATAAACCATGTTGCAACCAAACAACTAAGACACTGACCTCCAAGTACCAATCAACATATGCATCAGAGTTTTAGCATAAACAGATGACTTGGTCCTACTTTCTTTTCGCCTAACTCCATTTTTGGACTCATCTTAAGGAAAGACCTGAACTCTAAATCATACGAAGTAATTTTTCACAGCTTTTTTTTCAGAAAAACATTATGGCATCCTAGTTAATGCGATTATCCTGTTTATACCAGTCACTAAAAAAAATGTAAAGTAATAGTGTAGTATTCCTTAGAAAGAGAATATTCTTTTCAAACAACTGTACTATGTTAAGATATTACATCAAAAGTCTCATTATAGTGAGGAATCTGTCAATCAAGAGAAAAATGAGTAAAGAATCGAAATAACTTAAAGCTAGAAAGTGCTCACGCACTAACATTGTTCTATGGACAATTTAGACCGTAGCTGAAGGCATCATTCTAGTCCATAGTTAGCAAAAACAATGCAATGAACTGTTTAAATCCTCAATGCTTTTTAAAAATTTCTGTAGCCTGATGTCCATAGTTTGAAAGTGTATAGTAAATCACATTTTGCAGCAGTGAATACAAAAAAAAAGTCAAGCCACAAAATGCCGATCTCTCAACAAAAAAGGCAAAATGGTTTGGTAGTTTTACACAATAAATAATGGAAACATAAGATATTACTGTAAACAAAAAAAAATCTTGAAAAAATGCCTAAAAGTTTGTACAGCACTAGAAATTTCCATATTTCTGCTGACTTTATTGCAATGATTTATGCAATATTTGAATAGGGTTTTTTTCCAATTTATGAATTGGAAGGGCTGGGCCCTTACACACAGTGCACTAGAGAGGTCAGTAGAAAAGCACTGCAGACATCTGTAGTTAACTAAAGATCAGTGGAATTATTAATGTATAAAAACTTATATGACCATGTATTTGGGAGGAAATGGGTGCTTAAATTAATCCTTTTCAAATGAACATTTGCAATAAAAATGGAATTAACACCTGTGCAGATAAAATACTTTTGATCCCTTGCTTGGTGATGCTTGTATGGTTTCTTATATGGTTCCTAATAATATTCCTGGATAGCTATGAAAATATGACATCACCCTTGTGATAACATAAGGAGCTGTAAGCTAAACAAAGCTTTAGCTCTAGATCAATAAGCATTCTTTTACAGATTTCTTTTTAGGACTTGTAAATAGTGGAAGGTATTTCAGACCCATCTGATTTGTAGGGATTTCAGACATTTCTGCAAAAAAAGATAGCTAAGAACATTTCTCACAACAGGATATTCCATTCCTGTTCAAAATCACCCAAAATGGATGCAGTAGGGGGGAAACATGAATGTATAAACTGCAGATATTTATAAAAAGAGGCCATGGAGAGGAAATGTGTTGGAAGTAGAAAGTAACCAAATAACAGCAGCCTCTGTCTAAAGACATATTCAAAATAGGTATGTTGACAGTTCTGTAATATCCAAGTTGTTGTAAGCTTATTACTGATAAAACCAACCTCACAAGTGAGTAGAATGTAAGAATATGAAATTGTACAGGTCACTGTTCTTACTATCTTTATTTTTTTCCTTTACTGTCTTTATTTGGTAGAAATATAAACCGGGGCAATGCTTCATTCTTCTCTTCTTCACCTTCTTGACGATAAGTTAATGCTAAGAACCATCTTCTGTATTTTTTCTTCCTTCCTTAAAATGTTAGCCTTTACAGCACAAATCTTGTCTTGCTGGTCCTTAATCAGCTGCTCCAGCTCTGCTAGTTCTGCTTTTAAGGGTTCCACAGCACTGTCAGTGATGCTGAAAAAGACAAAGGCACATTTTGGAAAAAAATAGTCTGTTTTGCATTACCCATGCCTCTGAGACAGTACATGAAGTATTTGGAAATCTCAAAGAATTTCTAAATTGTACCCAACCTCCACAAAAGAGAGAAAGTCTAGAGTGAGCTGTCTTAAGGGAAAATGAACATGGACAAAAAAAAAAAAAAAAAAAAA